TTAATAGTATACCTACTGTAAAAAGAGGACTTTTTTGTTTTTTAATAGTATATATATACACAGTGAAAAAATGAACAGATTCTTTGTTTTAATGGGATACCTACTGTAAAAAAAATTATTATTTTACTAATTTAATGCTCTTCAAGCAGCATAGAAATGGCAGTTGGTAAGGATAAACATATACATATGGGAAATACACTATTAATGGTTTACCATAGTAAAAAAAAACATTTATTCTATACTGTATGTGTAAAGAAGCAGTAAATAGTTTGTTAACTGTGAACTTACAATTAGTACAAAAACAACTTTGCAATTAAAACAGATTCTTTAATGAATACAAATCATTTGAATTCCAAATAGCTAGTTATACACACAATAATACATATTGACATGTGAATCACACAGTGAGAGGTCTTGGCAAATAATCTCATAGCAAATTAGTTTTAAATGTTAGCTTTAAGATAATTGAGGACAAGTGGGCAAATTACAAGTACTTTACATTAAGAAACCAGGTTAAACTGCAAGATGGCAGGAAACAGACGATACAACTGGGTCTTCTTCCGCTCCAATACTGATACTTCAATGGCTGTAAAAAAAAAAAAAAAACATTACTAATGACATTTCACTTACAACTGGGGTGATTCCTTGCATGTCAATAGTTTACACAAATGGAAGTTTTATCATCATCTTCTTGTCTCACTCTTGTAATTTCAAGCCTGTCTGACTGACATACTTCCACAGAACAAAGTAGGAGAAATAGGAGCAGCATTCTTTAAAATATGATATTTTGTGTTTTGCAGAAGAAACAAAGTCATACAGGTTTAAAATTTCAAGAGTGAGTAAATTATGAATTATCAATTATTCAGTTTTGGGTGAGAAATCACTTTAAGATTTTTCAAAATAAAGTGTAGGTACTTTTGACAATATTCGGAACAATAATGCAAGAGAGAAACAGTAATATAAACAAACTATGCTGGTAACACTATAATAACTACAGGCTATGATTAATTTATGAAGCATTAGCAAATAGTGAATTCATTATCTGTTAAGCATTGACTCTAAATTAATAGATGTTAGCAGTCGGTTATAAATACAGCTGCAAAATTTGCTACAGCTACAGTTTAATAATTGTGTTATCAAACTTTAATGATTGATTTTACAATACTATATATATATATATATATATATATATATAAATAATATTATATTTAATATTGCATTATTTACAAAACTTCTTCCAGTTGTGGCCTAATCTGTGAGGATTATTTATGATTTATAAATCCTTATAAACGACAGTTAAAGGCTCAGTATCAAATGAACATTCTTATCTAAACAGTCTTATCTAAAAAATGTAATTACTGTAAATATGAAACCTTGCTGAATAGCTGGAGTGCCAAAATATAACATAAAACTGGATAAAACAACACTAAAATAATTTAATGATATTACGATGCAACATTTCAGTGTTATTTAGCTATGTTTAAACTACAGTAATTTTATTTTAGATAAGATTTATTTTTCATTTAATACAATAAAATGAATTTCATTTTTAGAATATAACTGAATCTTTAATTGTGATTTATAAGGGGATTTACAAAGCATAAACAATCCTCACTTTAGGCTACAAAACTGGATGAAGTTAACAAAAGCACTTATTAAAATAAATATTGTATATACTTTATATACTTATTTTTTGTACTTTATTTACAAATATAACTATTACAATTCATTCATGTATTTTCCTTCAGCTTAGTGTGTACTCACACTATGTATAGTTGCCTTAAACCAGGCCGAAGCACTCTTGTCTTCCCTCCCGTCTCCCCTGACGTCCCACACTCACATTGCATTCGAGCCTGAGCACTCTTACATCATTTGCCTTACATCAAATGACTGCATCATTTGGGATGCAGTAACACGCTGTCAAATATTTTAGATCAGCCACTTTTGATGTTAATAAACAATCATAAATTCCTTGTGCTGCAGGAATAGGAGGTTTGCTAAAGGCGCAGCTGTGGTGCAGTAAGGGGTTTTCGTTCATTGAACAGTAATAGTGATTAATTTATCCAAATCAAAGTCCCTTGCAAACTGTCATAGATTAAAGACACAAACCCCTCACTGCACAACAGCTGCACCTTTAGCAAACCTCCTAGTACCTGCAGCACGTTGACTTTGATTGTTTATGAGCGTCAAAAGTGGCTGATCTGTTCGGCGAAATATTTGACTGCGTGTCACTGCATATTGAACAACTAAAACGATATAACAATATAAAGAAATCTCCACTGTGCTGAGTGAGAGCACTTGTTAAACTGAACAGTGCATTATTGATGATGTAAGCATGCTCAGGCTCGAATGAAATGTGAGTGCAGGTCGGTGGGGAGACAAGCACGCTTCCAGTTTCAAGGCAACTGTGCATAGCATGAGTACGCCCTTGAAAACACCCATACACACTTATTTACAAACACACTCATACACTACAGCCAATTTAGTTAATCAATTTCCCTATAGCTTATGTCTTTGGACTGTGGGGGAAACCTAAGCACCCGGAGCTCTACTTGCTGTGAGGCAACAGTGCTAGCCACTGTGCTGCCCAACTATTACTATATGCCTGAATAATAAGATATATAAATGTTAGTTTGAATAGTTTATTAACCATTTACTTACACATTCTGAATGATTAGAAAAAAAATACACCAACTATTCTTAAATCACTGGTTTGTAAATAATGCTATACTAAATTTAGTAATGAAAAATTAATCATTAACAAAATATAAAAACAAAATCATTAAGCACATTATAGATGTGCTTATAAGTCAAGATTACAGCATTTGCAGCTGTAGTTATAAACTGTATACTAAGGTCTATTAATGTAGAGTTAATGCTTAACAGAACTTTTTGCTAATGCTTAATAAATTAATCAATAGTGTTTAGTTATTATAAAGTATTACTGGTGTGCTTAATTACATTTAAATCTTCCAAGGATTCTGAAAGTCTTTCTGGTCTGACAGGAATCGAAGGAGTTTAGATGGTATGTTTCTGCTTGGTGCTCTTTTTTCTGCTTTGGACCTACATTCTGGATAGTTACTCAGCATGCTCCTGTTGTAAATACAACAAACATGTATCAACTTACTTGTCTTATAAAAATGAAATAAACTTAAAAATGTAAAAACAGACCTTCATATAAACTCCAGAGTCAGGGCTGCTTCCTTAGGCTACATAATGTTTAGCACATAAGAGACTAAACATGTAGCTCACCACAATTAGGGGACAGCCCAATGATCTTGTTATTGTGACTGTGGACTCTTCTTCTGAAAAAAAGAAAAGTGAGTTGTGTGTTGGGTCTGGTACACGTCCACATGGAAAGAACCTATATAAACATATGGTTTAATATAGGTTTTGATTTAGGTTTTTGAAATATGTGACAAATATAAAATTGGCTGTTTTCCTATATTACATGTACATATATGGGTACATATATGCACACCTACATGTTAAATTATTAATATTATAAATAATATTATAAATATTATAATTATTATGTAAAATTATTTAAATACATGTCTGCTACATAATTTAAAAGAAATTAAAATATATATATTTACTTAATCAAATATTACAAGAAATAATTATAGTGCAAGAACAAAAATAAGGCAAAAAAAAAAAAAACAATAAAGGAAAGAAAACAAAATAAAAAAAAAAATGACAAACCATTTTGTTTTACATTTCTTTCTTTTCCACTATCTTTATACAAGAAAGAATTGACCTTGAAAATGTTACAGGAAAACGTGTAGACATCATAGCTTTCCATCTCCTCTCACTTATTTGCCATAGTTAAATTCCATAACATGCCAATAACATGTGATACAAAAGTCAAGTGGCACATACATAAGTTTTTCGCATTTTTTAAGTTAGTTCTTACCCAGAGAGCAAACCTACGTTAAATTAACATTGAATAAATGTTAAAACATCAATCAAACTATCATTGAAACAACGTTAAAAAGTCACCACTGATTTTTAGGCAGTTTTCCACCCTGAAATAATGGTAATTCTATGATGATAAATAGACAAAACTGTCCCAAAATCAGCATTTATTCAACCAAAATTAAATCTTTTTTTTTTTTTTACAATGAACCCAACATTAAATAAAATGTTAAATCAACCACACTATCATACAATTAATGTTGAAATTTAAATTAGATTTTTAGCCAGTTTTGCATCCTGAAATAATGTTATTACAATGACGCTAAATAGATTAAACGGTCACAAAATTAGCATGAAGGCCTGGCTCACCATCAAGATGCCCACATTGAAATTGTCTCTCTCATCATCAGGTGGCTAAGACAGAAAAGAAAAGAGATTCAGCAGTGGACCAGTTATTTCCTTATCACTTTAAGCAGACATTACCAAAATAAAGAACTTGTAACATTTCAAATGATGCAAAAATAAATAATAATAATAAATAACTGCTTGGTTTATTTAACAGATTACAGTAGCAGCTTAAAAAACCCAGATAAAACACCCACATCAACCCAGTACTTTTTAGTTTGAATACATGTTAACAAAATTCTAAATTACTGAAGCAAAATGTGTTCATGTAAACACTTAGTAAAAATATAGGTACAAGAAATTGGTTTTGCCAAATAATAAAAATAAAAGCATCAATATAAACAAAAAAAACCCTGACCATTTTACCTCTTAAGCTTGAAAGTTTACTGTCATCCCCTGTACTAAGTACAGATGGTCCAGCACAACTGCCCGAGTTCTGAAAGAGCAAACACATTCTTGGTAAAATAACAATAGATGCAATGCTAAATATAAATCATTTTTTATTTTAATTTTTTGTATTATTTATAAAAATGCAGTACTGACCAGTCAGCATCAATTTTTACACCAACACACCTACAACAAAAATAACACTCATTCAGTTTGAAACATGCAACGTAGTCTACTTTTATACTTTACATACTTTGTGAATAATAAAAAAATGAAAACATTTAAAACCCCAGCTGTATTTTATTTCATTTGTCTATATCAATTAAAATTTAGTTTGGATTGAACGTAAGATTTAATATTTTTATTTAGATTGCTGTGAAAATGTACCTGTACCTTGTACTTATAACCAAAATTGCAGAACCTGGAAGTCAACAAAGCAAAATATCAGTGAACCTTATATGTACAAAACACTTAAAACCAAACAGAAAAAACGCTGAACATTTTACCTCTTAAACTTCAAAGTTTACCGTCATCTCCTGTATAAGGTACAGAGGGTCCAACACAACTGCATGAGTTCTGAAAGAGCAAACACATTCTTGGTAAAATTACAATAGATGCAATGCTAAATATAAATCATTGTTTATTTTTTTGGTTAAAAAATGCAGTACTGACCAGTCAGCATCACTTTTTACACCAACACACCTACAACAAAAATAACACTCATTCAGTTTGAAACATGCAGCAGGTAGTCTACTTTTAAACTTTAAACTTTGTAAATAACAAAAAAATGAAAACATTTAAAATCCCAGGTGTATTTTATTTAATTTGTCCATTTTAATTTAAATTCAGTTTGGATTGAATGTAAGATTTAAGATTTTAATTTAGATTGCTGTGAAAATGTACCTGTACCATGTACTTATAACCAAAATGACAACATAAACATAAAGCAAATCTTATATCATATATCAGTGAACATTATATCTACAAAACACTCAAAATCAAACAGAAAAACCCTGATGCAGAATGCAGTACTAACCAGTCAACAAAAAATAAAATAAACAAAAAACAAAAATAACACTCATTCAGTTTGAGACAGTCTACATTTAGACTTCACAAACGTTGTGAATAATAAAAAAATTAAAACATTTAAAATCCCAGGTGTATTTTATTTCATTTGTCTGTATTAATTCAAATTCAGTTTGGATTGAATCTAAGAATTTACCTGTAACATGTACTTATAACCAAAATGAAAGAACCTGAAAGTCAACAAAGCAAAATATCAGTGAACCTTATATGTGCAAAAAAAACTGACTCAAAATCTACATAAAAAGATTTCATTTGCGATAACACCATGTGTAGTTCACTCTATTATCAAGGTTTCATTCAAATAAAACTCCTGATCTCCTAATAGTAAAGAAAGTATTATTTGCTATAATGAATCGAACTGACAATTAGTTTGAAGAATTTTAAGACTGTGGAAGAACAACTCATCTTTATATCTTTATATTAGCTGCCCTTGAGGTTCTTAAAAGTGAATAAATAAATATCAATGACAGTTCAACTCGACTACAACAAACATTTAATTGTGTGCTTTAAGGTACACGTTGTAGGCTATTTGAGGCCGAAAACGCATGACAGTGTAAACACTTTAAATACTTTTAAATGTCACACACTTACTGTATCACTCTATTATCTATGTACACACAAACACACGTCGCGAAATGCGGAAGTTTTTTTTTTCGTTCCATTTGGCGAGCGTTATTAAATTTCATAACATTCTCATCAGTTCTTACTACTTGCACTTGTTTGTCAGACGGCTCACCTGTCAGGTATACATCCGCGCTAAAATGTCAAAGTATGAAAGTCACCCATGAGCTGCAGCTCCCAACCCAACGTTGAGAATAGATTAACGGCGATATATATTTTTTATCGCGCGATAAGTCTCGCGTTAACGCAGCACGTTAATGCTGATAACGGCCCACCACTAATAATAACTTAACGAGTGTGTATTTCCCCTCATACCGAGTTACAAATGCCTCCAATTCACGCGAGTCTAACTTATAACTTAACGTTAACTTACTTAAAAACCAGCAAAGCTGTTCCACTAAAACTCGGTCACACAGCCTTAATACGTCGGTCAAACTAAAGCTAACATTTGATAACGTCAGTAAAAATATGAAATTAGTTATTAATATGCAAACAAACACAGACGGTCAGGTGTTACGAGCGTTTGAAACACGTTGACGTTAGTGTTCATTAAAGGTAACGTATATCAACCAAACTACACAGTGTCACAAACTTTGAATGCTATCCCTTGTTGCACTGTACAAAGAAAACATTTATATTTCTATTAAATAATTAACATACCTTTCACACTCTCACAGACAAGCTGACGTTTACCGTTAATCCAGTCAGACTCACACAGGTGCAGAGGGAGTGAGCGGGTGATTGGGACGTCACGTCACTTCCCGCGCACGGCAGTTTAGAAAAATACGGACAAACAACTGTAAATGAACAGATACCATATTTACTGATGAGGAAAACGCATAAAAAGGTAAAAAATCATTAGGTAAATGCTTGTTTTTAAATTACATTTAACCACTCATAGCTCAGTTTGATCTTAATGAAATAAAGTCTGATCTTATTAACAATATTAAACGTAATTCACTGCTGTACTTTCCATGGGCACTTCATACAAGACAAAATCATTTTAAATAACGATAAAAAGGTAATAAAGCAGTGTTTTAACTAAAATATTGTTATATGTTTTATTAATCGTACTTACCAGGGAAAAAACAGAGGAAGAAATATGTCTCGATGTCCATCAAACGCTGTCTGAGCTGCAATCCCCTTCCCACAATGCAGTTCGAAAATGTATATAAACGGAAAAACACCCGTAATACGTGTATACGGAAAAAATCTGTTAAAATATACAGTCATTTAACTGTTATTTTACAGATTTTTTTTACAGTGTATATATATATATATATATATATATATATATATATATATATATATATATAAATATATATATTTTGTTTTAAACTGACTCACTGATTGTTTTCTCCAAAATCTGAATTGTGAGAATTTAGCTTTAATTTTTGCATTTATAACTTGAAATGTTAAACTGTTATAAATAATTACAACACTGCTTTGTCTTCTCCCTTGTTTACTTAACCCTCCGTCTTATTCCTCTGCTACATAAACAAATGCTTTATCCTACTGAGGGAAGCATGTACGTCGCTCTCTTTAAGTCTTCAGCCTTCCATTAAACACTGGAATTAAGTTAAAGGCAAAAGAACATAATTAATTAGTCTCAAAAGACCAAAAGCAAAGAAATTCAAGCTAATAACGAAGCCTCTATTGGCTACTTCTCACCAGAACCAGGACAAAAGGACTAATTAGAGTAAAGTGCATGCAGTACTGCAGAGGTGCTGGTGTTTTCCCTTCAGCCGTCAACATGCCCTGAACGTATAGTACCAGTTAACCCCTTCAGCTCCAAAACAAGGTATATTGCCTGCAATTTTGTACACATTTGTTATATCTGAGTTCAGTATGACTCTTTTGCATGTTTATATAATCTTATTTGCATTGTAAGGGTGCATTTGCATTGCTCAGGAGACTGAATTGACTTTTTAGAAATGCTTTGTTAAATATCAACTTGGTGTTAGATTGTTTTAATTCAGTACTTTTTCTCTGTTTGTGACCCCAATGGCACTTTATCTATTTATACAGCACACTGTGTCATTTGCACTGAAATGGTCACTTGCCACCTATACCTCATTATCACTTACACTGTGCTGTCTCTATTTAAATTCCATGTCATTTTCCCTGAAGCTGGTCAGCTGCCCTTAATAGAGCAATGGATTTCTCATGGTTCAGTTTGCATCACTGTTCATTTCTCATGGTTTCAGTTTCATGCAGAGTGTAGCCAATAGCAAATATTTTATTCAGCCGATAACATTGTACACTACCTGACAAAAGTGTTGTCGCCTATCCAAGTTTTAGCAACAACAAATAATAACCTCTAGTTGATCATTTAGTATCTGAGGTGGCTTTTATGGAAGGCAAGGGCCTTTAGATTATGCTTATTTGACCAAAATAGAATGTGATCATGCCTTGATTTTTAATTATTTAATTAAGACAGTATAAGTCTTGTCATGTAACACGTACAATATAGGATATAAAGTCATAGTGCAGTGGAAAAATAATTGAGCTGCATCCATATATCTCTGCAATGGCTCAAATAACATTATTAAGAGCATCTGGAATGGCAAAGAAAGCATTCTTGCAGGAGTTCATCAAGAGTCTTTGGATTCATTTTCAATGTCCCCTCCTTCATTTTACCCCAGACATGCTCAATAATCTTTATATCTAGTGACTGGGATGGCCAATCCTAAAGCACCTTGAACTTCTTTGCTTTCAGGAACTCTGAAGTATGAGAAGGAGTACTATCCTGCTGAAGAATTTGCCCTCTTCTGTGGTTTATAACGTAATGGGCAGTATGGGAAGAGTATGCAAGCTTTGGGACAAACTAGTTCCTCATTAACGAACCTTTATGTTGCTTAGCTACGTCCCTTTTCAATCATCTCAACGTCATCCAACTTATTTTCATATTTAATTGCCTATCTTTTTGGAGATTTAGTAGCAGGTTAATCTGCCATTGACGAGTCTTACATGTAGAGAAATCTCCTCAGGTCTATGTGCTCTTCAGGATTATTGTGCATTAAGAAGCCAATGCCTAAACATATCATTATAGAAGTTTAGATTGTTGTTGCAAATAAATTATAACACGGAAAATATATTTTAAATACAGTTTGCTGGGAATTACTTCATAGTAATTTTACCAAAACCTTTCTATTTGATGTTCGTTCTTGCACATTTGCCATATTTGTAGTTTGTTTACAATTTTTACCTAAGTTTGTAGTTCTAATCAAATTCATGTCCAATGTATTGTGAGTAATATTAGCGGTTAAAATACGAACGTTGTTCTGTCGATTTGTCCTACCTTGTCAGATTGTCCTACCTTCCATTTAAAAAGTAGGAAGCACATGTATGCTACCCATCAGATTTTTTTTAATTGTTGAGCAGTGTGATATGAAGCTGTAATGTCATCCTAACAACCTAATCCCTAACCCCAACTTCAGAATAATTCAAATACAGTGTTGGTAGCATAATCTGATGGGTAGGATAAAATGTCAGGACACCAGTTCTACACCTCCAATTACTACCGTAAAATAGTAGACCATCTGAGAAACTTTGGCATACTCTTTTCAACATACTGTTGAAG